CTCTTTTGAACGTATCATAATTTTTAGAATTTTACTACAAAAATCTTTTGGCATTCCAAGTTGGTGTGACGACTTTGAACAGAATGAGGGAATTTTTTGAATCCCCTGCCACAAAACTATTTCTACGCAAACTGAAGCATTACATGGTTAGAATGCCTAATTTCCAAGAATTCTTGAAAAGAATTCTTCCATAATAAAATAACTTGACATAAAAACTAACTTTACCAAATTTGAACCACGCAGGTGTTTTTTTGGACCCTAACGCATATAGGGGTTCTAATGAAAAATAATCTTTTATATGCCTAATTTAAAGCCTAATTATTAATATTTCATGAAAATTTTTGACGTTCAATGCTTTAATTTATTGTCTTAAAAAAGTGAATTGCAGAAAATTTATTTTTCGTCTTTTATTTCACTATTCATTACTTCATGTGTTGCTAAGGAAAATCAACGTCATGACGTCAGCCCTAATTAATTTAGAATTAACACGCTTACCTTGTCGCCTCCTACTCTCCCAGTGCGTTTTTTTGATACCCGGTAAGGTTACAAAAAAAATCAATTCATTACGTTGTAACGCCCACCATAATTAATTTTGAATTAACACACTGATCTTGCCGCCTTCTACTTCCCGCGCTTGTTCATTTGATACCCATATAGCATAGTATTGCTAAGAAAAAACAAGTAAGAACATTATAGTTGGGCAAGGCCCACCATTAAGTACCCTACGTACATATTGTTGAAGACAATTTTTATCTTTATTATAGAACACAAAAATTATGTCGTGTTTCTATATGAAAAGGTATATTTTCCATGTGCGTGCTCATAGGAAAAAGGGCCCAAAACGCAATCTAATGCAGCACAAGTTTAATCCTTACATAGGGTAAAATCTGAAAAAAGTCATAGATGGTCCAAATTTTGTACGAAATTACTGTAGGACCAATTATCGGGAAAATCCTTATTAAGGTAGTATCCAAAAATAGATCGAGGTGGTCCAAATTTGGTATTGTTCATTGCTTTATGTTAAATTACTATTGTGATATAATAATTTTCATCATGAAGTTTTGAAAATTATACCGCTTTTTTTACCCCATCCGGTCCAAACAATTTTCAATAGCGTTCGTCCTTGGGTCAAAACACGTCATTATACCAAATTTCGTCGAAATATTTTAAAAGTTGCGATCTGTAACTTGAACACAAATTTACATGGACAGACATCAGACGGACGGACAGGCTTAGATGAATTCACATTATGTATGCCAAGTTAAATCTATCTTAAGCGCTTCTACACATTACATACGACCGCACTAAGTACTACAAGTGCTAGAGGATATAATAGTTTAGGCGTCACTGCGGGTTTGTGCTCCATTTGGTCCATTTTGAATACCAACCTTCAAGAACTACCAATGTTTCTGCCAATTCTGAGCCGATAACTTAATTTTTATGGCAAGCAGGCATTACACATTATGACAAATGTTCCGGTGAATATAAATACTATGGACGCATGTAAGGTTGAAATAAATTAAACTTCTGCAAGCCAATGTTATCTGTTCTCCATTCAAACATTTAAGGCTTTTGTTTATTAACACAATAATGTGCTTGAACGCCCTGCTTGTGGTATTTCTATCGAAAATGTGTGGTTTTCATTATGTCAATCCCATCCTCGAACTTAACTTTTCCATAAGTCTTCTTCTTTACCGCAATAATAGCTTGTTAGACGAAATGTTGACATATTATTGACAAAATTATTTATACACACGTATATGTTTCCACAAATAGGTTTAAATTGTTTTGCCTGGTGTGAAATAAGCTCGTACAAGCGTACACGTTCAATAGCATAGAAGCCGTTAAGATGAATTTTTTATTAGATTTGTCAAATATCAAATGTTTGCACTTTGTTCAAATACATACGGCAATGAATATATTTTTGATAAGAGCAGATGCCGATATTGATTAAGATTGATATTAAACTGTACATAAACTTCACTTAACTGAAATAATGTGAGTACCTAGGACAAAAGTTCATTTTGGTGGCACACAGATCTTTTCGCATAATTCTCTTTTGATACTTAAGATCAAGTATGACTTAAGTATTAAGAGATTTATCGCATTCGAAGTCATACCAGCTGTAACTATTGGCAAAGTCAATCTTTCGAAGAGAAGTTAAGATGAAAATAATGGTCCATTCTTCTTGATCGAGTCAATGAAGTAACGACATCACAATTATCACCAACGGTATATGTAAGGAAATTAATCGTGTAGTCGTATAGCCGTATAGGCAAAGATAATAGGTAATAATGCTAGGAAATGACTGAGAAACGTCGACGTTTTAAACCGTCACTCCGTAATCTACTTTTAATGATTCTTCTAGGTGAGATAATGAAAATGTAAGCTAAATATATTAGCAGCAGGGAAACCGCATGCGAGTTTCCCATAAACAACTTGGTTCGTGGTTAAATTAATGGATTAAAAAAATTTAACAATGCAAAAAAGCCGAATACACTGTTTTATTATAAATATACGCCTAATCTCCTCTTTTTACACAAAAGATACGTTCCCCGCAAATTCGTGCAAAAAAGTCGTGTAAAAAAAATCGTGTAAGAAGCGAATTAGATGCGCACTTACAATCTCACAAAGTAGTCCCATTGATCTATATATGCTAAACGACAGATTATATTTCCTGTAGAAATAATTAAAGAAATTCGTTATTACTAGTGGGGCGTGCCTACGTTAGGCTCGGCTGAACAATTCATAAAGCTAATCCCTGGCATTAGCTCGCAACCGAACAGCTGCGGTCTTTATTGGTAGGATTAGGAGCAATAAATCTGATATCAAATAAATTGGAAGTAATCGGAATAGATTTCGGTCGCAATAAAGCTTCTTAAGAAAGCATGTTCAAATAAAGGATAAATGGAGCTACAACCCATCATAAATTACTCACAGCCTAATGAAAAAGATAAATATAATACAAAAAAAGTAAGGGAAGAACTGATCAAAAACTGAAAAAAGAATATCACCACTTGAGAATTTGTCTGAGTTGCAGGAGTCCAACGGGTCCTTAATTTGGGGACCTACATTTGGGGATGTATGCGATGAGAAAACTATACATTAGGTTGGTACGACGTGTATTGGAATACGGCTCGGTCGTATGGTCCCCGTCGTATGGCTGCCATGTGAATTTAATAGAAACTTTGCAGAAGCGGTTTCTGCTTTTTGCTCTAAGAAATTTGTGTTCGGATCCACCCCCTTGTGAAAAAAGATTGCTACTTACATCCTTACCGTCGCTAGAGAAACGTAGGATGGTATTGGGCATTACCTTCATTGGGCGTTGCTTCCGTAATAGCGCCGTTGACTCGCCGTTTTTCTTAAGTGCTGTTAACTTTAAAATTCCTGTTCGTCCGGCGGGGAACTTTCTTTTTACTAAACTTATCCAACACTGGTTAAATTAAGAGATTTTTAATTCCCTTAGGGTTCTCTATAAGCAATCTAGCTAAGGTTTCTAATCTAATTTCCTTATCGGATGCCTGTGCACTGCCAACATCTTACCAAACCTATTAAATCCTATTATTCGGAGTCTTAATACGGATTTTAAGGATAATCGATAGAGACGTTGTTTATTTTTTGTATATGTTTGTATTAATTGTTTGTTGTTTTAAGACGTTTTCTACTTGAATTGCAGTTGGGCTAAGCCTTCAAGTGAGCTGCATCTGCGCTGCAGTTGAATTCTGTACTTATGAAATTAAAATTAAATGAACAAATAAACTGATCATTAAGGGTAATTATTTATGCCCTATATTACACGTCCAGGCTGTATTAAGCTAGCGTATTGTACGTAACACACACATGGATTGAAAAACGATGCATCTTTTATTGTACCTATCTATTCAAGGTCACTGTTTGAACCAAACTAAGCTTGTCCGTCGGCCTGTTCTTCCGATGTCTGTCACAATTTTCACGATATTTTGATGAAATATGGCAAGCTGACGTGTTTTTTTTTTTCTTTTTTTTGGAATCAAGTGAATCATTTTGTCAATCACTCCCCGTATAACACCTGATTTCGAGAAGTCATCTTATGAAAATATAATGTATTCGTAAAACTTCTTGACAAACATAGCTGAGTAGTAATGAGTTCTGAATTAAAGGGAAAAATTTGGTCAGATGAGGCAATATTTTGACCTTCCTCCTATTGGAACTGAATTTTTATATAATAAAAAGGTGCAATTTCTACTTATTCACCCAGTTTTTGCATTCGAGTGCCACGTGCACATCAATTTGCATGCAATCTCCACTGCCAACGATTACATCGGAAATTTAATAAGGAATATAACCAATCAATGTCTGACCCATAGTGTTTACATGAGATGACGCATTCATTGAATACAGCCGGCCTCACTCGAAAATAATGAGAGACAAAAAGAGAGAGAGAAAGAGAGAAAGAGAAAAAGTGATAGAGAGAGAGAGAGAGAGAGGGAGAGTATGAAGTTCTCTATTTTAGCTAAATAGAGTCAATCATGTGTTTCTTGATAAGCTCGACGGACACGTAAAACAGTCAAAGCATTCTTGGTATAAAAAAAAAACGTGCTCTTGATTTTCTAATTCATAGGAGAGGAAGAATAATTAGTAAATATACTTTGAATTGCAAATTAGAATTTCATAAGTAGGCGAAGGAATCATATTTTAGACAAGTGAGAAAATTATTGATTTGATTAGCGAGAAAAAGAAGAAGTTTTTTAAAAAAATCAGTTAATCGTAGTTAATCGATTGTAGTAAGACGTGCACTTCTTCGCATTCATCGATTGTGTGAGTGTATAAATCGAATCAATTGTTTAAAAGCTCATCACATCAATTTCCATTTGAGGCGTTCGCGGCGAATTGAAGCTGAAATTCAACAACTTCTATAGCAAAATTTCGAGCTTGTAAGTAGAAAACTAGTTCGCCATATTTTTTCTCTTCTTTCATGACGAAATGCTGATCTAAGCATAATTTAATTTAATATCTGCTTCTACAGAATGCGAAAAAAAACAATTTCTGCTCCATATTAATACCATAATTTTTAATATATTTTAATTTCATGTTATTTTGTTCCTAGGAACATGGATAATGGAAATTTACCAAGTGAACCGAAGCGATGCCGTAACTCAAGCTACGGCCTTACTGTACAAGACCAAGAGAAAGCTCTCGAAACGAATGTGAGTTAATTTGATTTTTCTTAACGATATGTCTTGGAAAACTTGAAATTTTTCCTTTTTGGAAAAATGCTAACAAATTATGCTGTGGCGGGGTTAGATTCGACCATTTATTCCTGGCATATACAGGAGAGTAGCAAGTGATTTCGTGGACTTACCTTATCCTTTGCAGCCGTTTATTGCTCATAAGAGATAGCTGGGATTGTTTATAAGAGATAATGCTATCTGCTCTATTGAGTAACTCAGCGCGTTATATTCTTATATAAATACATATGCACACGTAGATATATATATTATTGTGTCCTGACTGCACCATTTATGGTGCAGTCCGGACGTACCTAACACGTCGATTCAGAATCATAATGTGAATTGACCTAAGCTTGTCTGTCCGTCTGATGACTGTCAATTTGTGTTCAAGCTACAGGTAGCAATTTTTCAGATATTTTCCTGAATGAACTTTATTGAATATGGTTCGGATTGGTCCACTATTTTGAATGTGTGGGTACGTTGTCCTTAGCCGTTCAGATGGTTGCTTACAGATTGATTTCTTGCGGTCGGTGATGTTATAGGGGTAACGGTTCGATCCAGAAGGAAGAGCTTGTGCGATATTCTAAACCAAGAAGAATATGCCAGTAATAAACCATATAGGAAAGCGCGTTTGATGCAAACGAATGCGAAACATAATGTGTATGTGACATTTCTTCATTACAAGATAACTAATTATGGATAAAAAAAAACGTTTGCACTTTAGCGAAAAAAGTTATTTTGATGAAACTTTTTGAAAATTCTTTACTATAAACATAATATTTGTCTTAGAAAACTACATTAATTTTTACAATCCTAACCCATATTAATATAGAATTTTTCTTTTATCATTCTAGGACTTCGTGGATTCTTTGTCGGATCTACAGAGTGATGTCAATATGACAGCACTTGCATTACCCAACGAAATTTGGATCATAATTTTTAATAATTTATCATATGAAGACGTGATGCAAGCAAGTTTAGTCTGCAAAGAATGGTGCCAATTGATTCGCGCAACTGTACTAAGAGACAAAACGAGACTAGTCATTACCCAAGGAAACTTGAGGAATATTTGCGAGCTTGTTGGAAATCAAAGCTTGAATTACGAAAGTGTGGAGGTAGATGAAAAGTGGAACGTATTCAATAATGCGGAGCTTGAATTTTTACGGAAAATTTTCAAATATTCTGGTTCCATTATTACTAAACTAAAACTTTATCGAACTTCAACCACCGCAGCACTGCTCAACTTTTTGCCGAAGCTAAAAGAATTGGATTTGTCAGATGCAAACGAAGTGGAAATCGAACGAATGGACATTAGCGAATTTCCAAATCTCAAATCGGCGCATGTGCTTAAATATGATAAAAACTATAGTAGGATCTATCCTATACTGTTCACGGATTTACCCCGCATATCTACAACAAGCGACGAAATAGTGACCATGTGCATTGATATATACTCCGTCGGCCTCTTCAATATGCTAGAAAGGCATTCATCGTCATTGCGCTGCCTCAACATCAGACTTTGTTCCTCAGGGTCTTTGACCTTACGAGATCGTCTCCCCCTTCAAGAAACCTTTAGAAAATTAACTCATTTAGAGGAATTGAATATAGCGGATAGTACTATAGTGGATAGATCTGATAACGAATTCGCAAAAATTGTTTTGGAAAGTCTTCCAAAGGAAAGTCGTATTAAAACTATACTTTTAGGCCACTCGCTGGAAGACGAGCAATTTTTGGAATTGATTATAGAAAAGTGGTTCATCTCTTTAGCACGTGTTTACCTGTTCAATTGGATTATATCGGAAAACACTATCAATCGATTTAAATTTTTGAGCGGCAAATATCGTTTGACTTTCTCTATTCAAGTTGGAGACTGGCTAGATTTTACTCATTGGTGGACCCCATACACCAACAAAAACTCAATTGATTTGAAATTATTCTTCTTGTATCTGACGCCCAAAAGGCTTTGGGATCTTTTTAAAAGGCTTCCTAATGTAACTGCACTTGAGGTAAAACGTCTTATTTTCTCGACAAACGATGAAGTAATGGGTTACGTTTTCCATCACCTTACGAATTTGCGACATCTTTCGCTTCACCACTCGTGGAAGCATAGGACTAACATAAAATATCTTTGCTCAAAGCCCAGGATTAGCAACTTAAAACGTCTTCAAACACTCCGTTCATGTTTGTGTCCTATTAAGGTTTTAAAAATTTTCAAATCAAATTTCCAATTCAAAGAATTAACCAAATTTGAGCTACTTCTTTGTGAGAGATTTAAGAGAATTTCTCTTCGGGAACTTGAAATTATTAGCACATACGTTCCAGCGCTGGAAGAATTCTGTTCGGATGGTCTAGATTATAATAGCAATTACTTACAAGAAATGCGTAGGATTTTTCCCCGTTTACGTAGACTGAATGATCGAAGACTTTTCTAAAATAATTGCTGAGAATTTGTGGCAAGTGTCAGCTATTCATCAATAAAATAATCAATAATTTCTTAACAAACAATTGGTTTTAATTAGATTAGATTGATGGATGAAGCGTTGATGATTGCTGAGAGCGGGAAAAAAGTCCCATTAGCGAATGTTGATTGCAATCGCAGAGTCCAAAAATTATACTAGATCAGGTTGTAAAAATGAATGTGTGTTCGCCAGTGAAAGAAAGCTTACTTTAGTGGTACAGGAAATTGATTAGAAAAAAGTATATCCGGGAAATGGGACGAAAGAAGATAGAAAACCGGAATGAAGTAATTTTACCCTACATCTCTCGTGGTATAAAGTGTACTAAGTTTGTGAGCTTCAGTTTTCGTTATACGAGAGGTGACTCGAAAATTGCTCTAGCCGGTTTGTAAAGTACAGTCGAAATTTTATTAAAAATAGGGGGTGCATTACAGTTACCTATGACGGTTTTTACTCGCATGGAGTAGGGTGGATTAAAAGCCAACAAAAAGCTACTTCCAAATGAAATGATATTTCATTTTTTTATGATATTGAAAATTCCTAAGCTGATTATGATGAAGGACATAGCCAATGCAATTAAACAAGAAAAAAAACAATTACTAGCTTGGTGGAAAATTTCCGTCATATATTAAGTCAAACATTTGCATTTGAAGATGGTTGATGTGTTCCGCAATAGTTGACTGATAAAGGCCGAACTCCTTTGCAATTGCAAAGCGTTTAGAACTGAGTTACTCTTTACCATGAATTGCAAAACGTCATTATCGAGAATGAAATTTTCGAAATGAAAATTGGTCGAATCATCTTTGCCAGTTCCGAATATTTACAACTTCACTTTCCAAAGTGTCATGCAAGTGCTTGCAAGCAATCCTTCCTTCACTTCCTTTCTGGAACTCACATCAAACGCGAGGTCTTAAATGCACTTTATCTCTTTATCCCTTTATTTACTCACCACTTTGCAACTAATTGTCGATGGGCATTAAAAGTGGCCCTTTTTATATGCCACAAAAAATTCACTAAGTAATCGGATCCCGACATCATGCATTCTACCTGTTTGCCTTGACCTGGCAAGTAAAACTGACATACAGGTAATAAAATACGACAGTACTTGTCAGTACTTATCACAACAGCTTAGTTCGTGGACTAAGGGATCAAACCATCCCAACAAGCGAGAAACATTAAGCATGCAGATAGCTTATTATCAATAGGATCATATCTTTTTTACTGCTTATCTATAAAGAACATACTCTTGGAATTACATTGAAGTTGCAATTTTAGACACAACATCCTTCGTCTGTAATATTTCCGCTAGTTCCGCATTATTGTTTCTATTAGTCCACCATTCCAACTTTCAGTGCGCTAGAATCTGCTCTCGTCGTAATTATATCTAATGCACAATAGGTGAAGGCATAAAATTTATCGTTTGGGTGCACACCCAGTAGGCTGCGGCAACTTCTCACCTATCATTTTCTCTTCCCTCAATTTTTTTTCTTCGTCCCCGTTTTCAACAGATGGAGGACATACCCTGATTGAAAAAACTGGTAAACTTAAGCTTTAAATATACTCTAAGACCATCGGCTTGAGCATCGCTCGTACGGGAAAGTTTCGTCTGTCATGGCTGAGGTTGTCTGGCATGATGACAAGTTGAACATCAAGACGGCTAAATTCACCCGTCAGATACCTGCTTCATATTAATTTGGTGAGCCAAAGCGCTAGTGCTCTGTAATTTTGAATGGGAATTTTTTCAAATTGGAATTTTTTTTATATGTATAATGACTTTTTCGAAGTAAAGCGTTAGATGAGCTGTGTTTGCGAAAATTTTCCAATCCAAACGATTGCAATAGTATTCGTTTTCGGGCCAAAACATATCGGTATGCAAAATTCCATTAAAATATTTGAAAAATTTACGACAAAATTTAAAACAAGACGGACGGACAAGATTAAATCGATTCAGAAAGTAATATTGAATCGATCAGTATAATAAGAGATGGGTCTAACTCAAGTCCTTCTTGATGTTATACACAACCGTATAAACCTAGTATGCCCTTGTGTCACGAGAAATATGTAATAAGTCAAGTATTTCCTTAAAAAATTCCTTTAAAAGTACTTTGCATCAGATAAAAAGAAACACTTGAAAAAAATTTTTAATCGAAGTAGACTTATGGTAAGAAACTACTCAAGCATAAAAGAAATACTACGTTTTTCAAAGTAAACAGAAATAAAAGAAGAAAGAACGAAAACAATTTTCAAGAGCAATAAAAATATCGTGATTTTTTTAAAAAATAAATAAAAGAATTTGTAGCCAAGAATTAACCAAAAGTACAGTTGAGCTGACTTGACTATGGCGGGCGAGCTAAATACCAAGCAAGTGGCAGTAATTGTGGCTGGGATGCAACCATTACTACTACCGCACAGAGTGGAAGCTGACGAGGATTTACGGCAGCAACAAGTCCAAGGAGTTCCCGAGCCGGACGAGGGTTGAAAAGTAGAAAAATATTTTAATAATCCATATTTTTATATAAGATTTGATCAGCTATGTTTTAAATCAAATAAATCGGATATATTCGACAAATTACAACAACAATTTTTATATCTTCGCTTTAGTTTTCCGTTTCTGACAGCTGAGCCTTTTTTTACATATTTCGTAACCGCTCCGCAGGCAACGAAATATTCAGTTAATCATGGGTGCAGAAGGCCACATTACGAGGCACTCAGTTAAGCCATTTAAGGATCACTGAAATTACTATTTATCGCACTAAGCAAACATATGCAACTTATTTGGTAGTTCTTCGTGGAGGATATCTGAAGCCTCTTTACCCCATTGAGGGTTCTTAATTCATGTTGAAATAAACAACCTGCGAGAATCCTTCATTGATTCCTTCAGATAATTTCCCATAAGCATATGCAATCCATGTTTGCAGACTTACAAATACGACGATATACGATTTTTATTAGATGTCCGAAGAGTCTATCTACACATTTTATATGCTGTTATTAAAATTTCTTCTGTAAATTATTTTTAAGAAAATTTTCTCTGGTTTTTAATAAACCTATTTAAAACCTATTCTAAGCATCTTAATGTCTAACTTGACAATTTACCTCACGGACATTTCACATAAGTGATATTTCTAAATCTCGAGAGTATTCACTTAGCCGAAAGTTAACTTTGTGTTTGTGTTCAGCTGTTAGGTGACAGCTTTTTCATACCTCATTATCCCCCTTCCGTTTCGTGAAGGAAAAAAAAAGAATATATAAAATATAAAAAAAAACATATATATTGCGAAAAATGAACAAAAATGAGAAAGAGCGTAGAAAACAGATTTAATAGCGAACGTCATAGATGGACATAAAGCGAGTCCTTGGGTGCGTTGATTTAATTTTTTTTAGTATCTCAAATACACGACACAATGAATTATCTGGGCAGATAATAACCTATGAAAAATATTAGTAACGCTTTCGCTTTTAGCTGAATACGAAAATAAAAGCTATATATCATTTATCCCATCGGATATCGATTATGTATGAAATAGTGTGCAGCTGTTTGACAACACCAACGAAAGCTGAGAGCTAAGTTTTTCGCCGGTAATTACTCTTCTACTATTAATTTGCTGAATTTTAGAAAAAGAAGAAGATAATTGTGAGCAGCGCTTTAAATAGAATTTGTCAAATTTGAAAATTATATGGTACGCTTTGGTTGAAGATATACGTCCAAATCTAACCACAATGTTGCAAACAAAGAGCTTTGTGTTTACATTAGGCTTTTTTTATTTTTATCAAAACGAATTTTCGGTTGTTGATTTGCTGAATAGAAGAAGAAGATGAATGTATCTACTTATATACATATATAAGTATATATATTTTGTGAGAATGTAGGTCTGTCCTTTTTTTTCGTCTTCTGTAAGTCATCAAATTAACAACAGATGACTCGTTGAGTTGAGTTGAAAAGGAAGCCAGCTTTTGATTACGCAAATCAAATCTGAAACATTGTCTAATGTAAATACGTATGTGTGTCAGTTTACGATTCTTATTTTTGTCCATTCATTTTTCCGTCCAAACTAAAGTTCGCAAATTTTCGTTATATTTTGATGACATCGTTTTGACTCAAGTACAAACGTTTATGGGAATGAATCGGAATGAAAAATTCCTTCGGCCGTGTGTAAAGTCATATTTTGGAAAAGCAGTTTTATATTATGAGAAAAAGATTGCTCTCTTTAATATTTCTCAACAAATATCGGTGAAAAAGCAGTGAAAACATTATAAAGTGGCACGGCCGGCCTTGAATAGCGTACGCCATCCATATATCGACTTTTCAAAATAAGTTATTATATGAGGAAAGATCGAAAAAGTGGTCGGATCCGAAATATTTTCAATAGGGTTCATCCGTGAGCTACATTCATCAAAATATTTTCAAAACTGCCACCTGTAGGTTGAACACAGCAGTATAAGATGGACAGAGGGACAGACAAGCTTATAATTGGTATAAAAAAAGAAATGTTTATCTCAAGTCCTTCCGTGCAACCGTGCATGCCTTGTACCCTAAGTGATGTATGTGTGCATCTTAATAATGATAATAAATTATTCGTTAGTTCTTTTGAAAGATATTGATCATAATGAATGTAAACATTTTTTATTATCTTGCTAAACGATTATTGCGAATCCTAAATAAACATTTACATAATGACTTGCAAACATTTTCATTTATTATTATAATCGTTGAAAAGCTCATAAATTATAGAATAAAATCAAGTAACGATAATTTGGTGCCCACTGCCAAAAGTATTCATAATTATGCCAATAATCAAAGTATTACTAATCACTAGCTAGAAAAGATGCTTGTGCAAGAACTGTGTGCGGTATATCTAATGTATCGAGTTTATATCACTTTTAATATCCATCCACGAAGGACGATGGGTTGTATTCATTTTATCAAAACGTTTGCAACGTCCAGACGGAATTTTCAGAGACCCCACAATGTGCAT